GTCCTGCCACGTATATAATGGGCTGACTGCGCGGCCATGCCCGTCAACATAAACGATGCCGTGCATCTGACCGGTTAAACCGATGCCCGCCGATTCCGGTACAAAACTTAGCAGCTCGCTGAGAATCTGTTCCGTTTGTCTGACAATAGCATCCGCGTCCTGAAGCCGTTCCCAGTCCTGCTCGCCTTTAATAAATCCTTTTTCGTGGTCCGCGGTGATCCTGCGCAGGATTTGCCCCTGATCCAAATCGCAAACCAACCCTGTAATGGTTGTAGTTCCAATATCCAATCCTATAAAAGTATTACGCATCAACTTTCTCCTCTCTCTAATTTCGACATTTTACTGCTGCAAGTACAAAAGGAAATGAATGCGATTGCACCGTCATTAGGTATAAAATTAGATGCTTGTCCAGGTCGTTTAAATCAAACTTCGATGTTTATTAAAAGAGAGGGTGTTTTTTATGGACAATGTAGTGAAATTTGTGGAGTAAATCATGGATTTATGCCTATTGTTATAGAAGCAGTATCATTAGAAGATTATTTAACTTGGTTAAAAAATAAAATTAATTTTGATTTTAATGTATAATAAGTAAAAACATATATGATATTTAAAATCATTGGTATAATTTTTATAGTAATATTATTATTTACAGATATTAAACAAATAATTAACAAAATTAAGCAATTTTTCCATAAATAAGGGAAATTAAAAAAAGCCAACGCTTTTTTTTAATAAAAATATAAATAATTTTGCATTTAAAATAAATTAAAAAAAAAAAAATATTCAAAAATGAAATTTTCAAAATATAAATAAATGGTCAACAAGATGGCTTTTTTCAACAAATCATAAAGATATTGGAACTTTATATTTAATTTTTAGTGCTTTTGCTGGTGTTGTTGGTACAACATTTTCTCTTTTAATTAGAATGGAATTAGCACAACCAGGTAATCGAATTTGTATGGGAGATCATCAATTATATAATGTTGTTGTTACCGCACATGCTTTTATTATGGATTTCTTTTTAGTTATGCCTGCTTTAATCGGGGGGTTTTGGGAAGTTGGGTTTATTTCCTTTAATGATAGGTGCTCCTGATATGGCTTTTCCTCGGATGAATAATATTAGTCTTTGGCTATTACCTCCTTCTTTATAATTATTAGGTTCTTCAGCTATCGTTGAATCTGGTGCTGGTACTGGCTGGACATAATTATCCACAATTAGCTAGTGGCCCGGGCGACATTTAGGACCTTCTGTAGATCTAGCTATTTATTAGTTTACACTTATCAGGGAATTTCTTTCTTTATTAGGAGCTAATTAATTTTATTTCCACAATTTATAAAATGTGAGCCCCCTGGCTTAAGGTTTTCATA